TAAAATTTCAAATTCCGGGATGTAAAATTACTGTAAATTTTTCATGAAGGGAAATGAATGATTTCTGGTGACTGGTTGTTCATCGAAAAAAGCAAGCCAGACCATAGAGAGGATGCCAAAGGAGGATGACGAAATCAGCAAAATGCACTCCTTTTTGAGAATGCGACAAAAACTGAGTATATTTGCCATGTAACAGAGTATGCAAGGAATTTAGCCTCCAAACTGAGTTTAAACCATACGTGAACATAGAATATTCCTATGAAATATTAGCTTTGCATCTTGCCCACTATCTGAAATCGCCACTTCTAAGATATGGCGCAATGGTGACTGAAAGCTCCATTTAGGTACATGTTTTCCCAGATAAACGATATTTTTTGGCAAAACTAAAATTATTGTTTTCCGGCTACGATGCCAACGGTGAACTTTGACGTGACTGAATGCATGACGCAAGCGTGTGCGACAGCCGAATCTGAACAGTTTAGCTCACAAATGGATACAGAATCTCTCTGCAAAGTTTCAGCTTCCTACGTTTACCAGTTTCTGAAATTGTCTTTCGTCAAAAAATTTAAATGTTTCTTTCAGGCGTCAGCACGTAAGATATAGACGCGCACGATCGCTGCTTTTAAAATGGGAGGACGTGGCCCATAAATGAGGGTATGCCTGTACGATTCAGCCTTCCAGCTTCTCTGTTGCTGAGTTTAAATTGGGTGGCATCACTCGCTTTCGAACAAACACACACACACAGATACAAACTTTCGACAATATGCGTTTTGCATATGCACAAAATGGAAAAACGCATAAGTCTGATGATAAAAGCCAGCAAACAAATGTGTTTAATAAGGCTGGTGATTAAAGAAGGCATAGACATTTTTCTAAAGAAGTGAAGTGGAAGAAATTTTGTTTTTAAAGAAATTTTGATTCAGGACGGGAAATGGCATACAATGATACGATCGTATAATTATGTGATGAAAAAGTATTGAAATTCTAAAACCTAAATTGCCTAACCCTGGAGTATCTTTCGACTGCCAACATGCTGCCTAACTTTTGAAAGGACAGTGACAGACAAGGATTCTAGTCGTATTATTTCTCTTTTCTTTTTTTCCAAATACCTTGTTACCCGATGTCTTTACATGGTGGTTAGAGGGCTGCACTTAGAGGACTGTACTGATGATTCCGACTCCCAATCGCACCTTATGCTGTCTGTGTATACAGCTAAGAGATGAAACACAGGCAGACCTTTCCCAACATTCAGTTTGGTGTCACATGAACTGCCCTGCTATCTTCTCCATCATAACTTATTAAACTAATCCCGCCCTTGGTTAAAATTTCCGGACTGTAGCCGTTCCACATTTTTCGGGCCGCCCACTTTTTTTAAGATTATGATTTGGACTTCTAACGGGCCGCAATTCCGGCCTCAACAAAAATTCCCATGAATGTATTGTGCTTTCGAAGCTATGAGAAGAGCAAAAATATGTGGCCAATTCTCATCCTCTAATCTCAGCAGCCACTAAAAAAACCCAACTAGTTATAATTCGCTGTTTTGTTTTTAGATGGTGTAATGATTTTTCACAGTGTATGATTTCAAAACTCATATCACGGCTAAAAACTACTGTGATGCCCGATTTTGCAAGTGGCTGTTAACGGCATTCGGGACCGCTCAGAGTGGTACACGCGTGGAGATTGTTTTTTTTTTTTTTGGCGAAAGCCAGCAACTTCACAGCAAAAAACTACTGCTAACAGCAGTTTCATTAGTCAGAAAGTGCACAGTATACTTTCAGCCTCTTCCAAAAATGAAATGCGGAAGGAGCTTCGAATTTAGAAATGATTTCGTCGGTGAATAAAAGGCTTGAATGTCTTTTAGTGGGAGCCAAGGAACCTAGAGATTTATTATATCCGTCAAAATCATAGATGTTTTTAACGAAAATTCGAATGTCGGATGAGTGCATGGTGCATTATGGTGCTGATGCTCGAAGGCCCTGTGACCCTTCTTGTGTTGCAAAATGAGGCCAAATTGAAACCTGTTTTTCGGGGGATGATCATTTCTATTACCCAAACCACTGTTGCCACGCCTGCCTTGTCCTTCACGTCCTGAGTAATCAACATCAATGTCCAGTTTTTTCCATGCTTTGCTACCGCTTCTGTTGCTTTTTCCTACATTCCCATTATTTTCGTTTTCTTTGTCTTTCTCCTGTTTCGTTTCCTGAAACAAGTCGAAATGATATGCGTACGTCGTAACGTACATGCAACTTTAAAACCAGTATGAGGCCTGGACTTTCGTATGAATTTAGGGAATTTAACTAGTCCTTTTTTCACCTCTTAGTCTTTATGTTTGAAAACTTCTTCGTCTAACATCTTATTCAGTAACTCTGAAATAGCTGTAGTCCTTACGAACCCATCATCGACCGAACTGCATTGATAACACGATCTGATCAACTGTCGAAGCGGATTCATGCTCTTCACTTCCTCCTCCTCATCCCACCTTACGCGGTCGCTTCCGCCTTTGCCGAAGCTCATTATTCATATCTTTTTACTCGTCTTCCCGCGATCGCATTCGTATTAACCCAATGTCTTCCCTGACCATCACCTCCTTCAACTTCTTCCTTGCAAGTATACATCGTCCGCCCCTTCCACTTTCGCTGCTTCCAGAAACAATCTACGTTTTTCTGATACGTGCGTCTCTGTATACAAGTTTCGGTCGCCACATGCCTTACCTCCTTTCTCGCGGGTCCTTCTCTCCTTGCCTCTTTATTGCAGCTTCCTCTTCTGCCATCACTTCCTTCAAAACCAAAACGATTCATTGGCACTTCTTGTTTCTCTCCTCTCCTTAATACGTTATTTTCGTCTTCAGGTGGGCTGTCCAAGCCCACAGCTTACATTCCACCTTTTCAGGGTCGCGCAGCTGCCTCAGCACAACTCTCAGCAGTTTTACGCTCTCGCTGGAATGAAAGTAAATTCCCTCGGCATCGGCGATATTGTATGCATCATTCAGATTAACAGCTCTCCGATTTGTGTTCCTTAGCAGACAACTCTGTATAAATAATCCACACAGATGTGCTTGTTGACTTCTGCTAAATCTTCGCTGTTTAGCACACAAAAGACAGTCCATATCAATACGCTGAAACACCACTGTCTTCGGCGCACT